GGGAGGCGGGGCCCGGCTGCTTGAGGCCGCCATGTTGGGAGTGGCAAGGCTAGAGAGGGCCAGACCCCAAAAGGAGGGGTCTCACACAAGTGAATTTTCAAATCAAGGCGCTGAGGAGGGGCTCGGACCCCAGTGAGATGGGGCTGATGGGAGCCAGACCCCAAGAGAGGGACTTGATGGGGTTTAAACCCCCAGTGAAAGAGCCCAGAGGGGGTCAGACCCCAAAATCCAGGGCCCTGAAGATGCTCAGGGGGTCCTGGAAGGAGCTAATGCCCATCTCGAGGGGGCCAAAGTGAGATCCAAGCCAAGGGCCTAGGCTGGGAGCGAACTCGGGCTCCCCAAGGGAGTGGAGCCGCTCGCTCTTCCAAATAAACAGCCCACAAGCAGAAGTGCTTCGTTTTTCCTAATAGTTTAATTAGACTTTAATGATTTATTGCTCATCTGCAAGGATTAATATTGCATTCATTAAAAATCATTCATATACAAAATAAACCTCTCCCTCCCGGCCCGACGCTGCCACCGCCATCCCCGGGCTCCCCCCCTCCCCGCCGCAACATGGCTTATACAGAGCTGGAGCCCTTACGCCGAGGTTCAACCCTAACGTGGATGGGAAAGGGGGGGGGACTGTGACCCCCAAGTGCAGGGGTTCTGGCGTGGGTCCCCTCAGGAGGAAACGGGGGGGGGGGAAACGGGGGACGAGGACGACACAGGACACGACACTCTCACTCCCTCCCCGCAGGCACCCATCCTGGCTCCCTGAGCCAGGCGTGAGTCCCCCGTGAAGTCTGAGGGATGGTGGAGGGGACCCTGCGAGGCAGATGATCCCCAAAACCTGTGGGGAGAGCGAGCGACCCAGTGACAGTCCAGAAGGAGACGGGGCAAGGGTGAGAAAGAGGAATAGTCCAAGGACAAGGAGGCGGAGGGGAAAAGAGGAGGGTGATCCAAGCCACGAGCATCCCTCCCATCTTCCTCCCGTCCCCACGAAGGAGCTTTGAACCCCCCAGGGAAGCGGCAGCACCCCCAAACCCTGCAAAGCCCCAGGGAGGGACCCAGCCAGGCGGCACTAAAAAGGCATCGCCGATCCGCAGGACGGGGTGGCTGGAGGTGAAGGAGCAGCCCCGGTCACGGGTACCCCAGCATCTCCATTCTCCGTGTACCGGGAGATGCAGGCAACGGGGATCCTCCTTCCCTCCACGCTCTGGTCTTGGCTGGGGGAAGAAAGAGGCAATTTGGGGAGGATAAAAAAAAAGCCAAGAGAAACCTCACTGGGCTGCAAGGAGCTTCCCCCGTCCTGGGACAAGCTGCAAGAGATGGAAAAAGAGAAACACGTCACCAGCAAGGATGGGGAAGGGGATGAACAAGGCGATGAGAGCGGCTGAAACGCACTGCGAGGGGGCAGGGAAGAGCTGGGAAAGCCCAGCTCGAGGGCCGGGGCAGCGATGGGGAGCCGAGGGCTTTGCGCAGGGGTCTGGGGTGCAGAGGGCTCAGGCTGGGGTATGGGGAAGGCTCATCTCTGTGTCCGTCTCAAAACAAAAAGAGTGAAACACCCCCAAGAAAGCCTCAAGGGGAAATTTCCTCCTAACTCCAGGCAGTTAGCAGATGTCATTCCTTCTCTTCAAAACAAATCAAAGCCAAATTATCTAATTTTTGAAACCTACCTAATGTGTTCTTTCATTTTCCCTTCAAAACCACCCCTTTTGAATATTTCCATAAATCTCATCCATCTTAAATTCTATTAGTTAGAACTGTTGGATTTAAAATTAAAGAAACTCAAACAAACAAACAAAAAAACACACAAAAAAACTTTTTAACTCAATTAAGGTGCAGTTTGGCTAAAAAACCTAGGAGAGATGAGGATAATGCTGGGTAAGCGACCCCCGTCCAAATTCAGATTAGCACCCTGAAACAGTGAACTCCCCCCGTACCCGGCTGGCCACCAAACCTGGGCCAGCAGCCACCAAACCTGGGCCACCTCGGCGCAGGGACGTTGGCCAGGCTTGGGGACAGTCACCTATTCGCGAGGTGGCCAGCAGGCGCCACTCTGCTCCCAAGCAGCGCTAGGAGCATTGATCTAGCAGCTAAAACTGGGCTCTTTAAGGCAATTTAGAAGTTGCAGATCATCCACACAAAGAAAGAAACGTCAGATAAGGTAGAAGGGCATCTCCGTATCTGCAGGGATCCCGGCCGAGACTGACACGGGCTGGAAAGGTGAAAAAAAGAACAAACCAACCACATCGCTGCAGGAATGAGCTGCCCTTGGCACATCGGGAAAGGGAAACCCTCTCCGGGAGCCAGGGCTGGGAGCCACCAGCGGCTTCAGCCACATGAAAGCAAGAAGCGAATCCCAGGTTGTCTGCCAAGATCAGACAGAGATGTGATCACGTAAAAGGGTGAAACGGAGAGGAAAAGAAAGAAAAGTGACCTTAAAAATCACACAGATAAATGTAAAAACAGGTTCCGTTGTTGGTTTTTAAAAAAAAAAAAAAAAAAGAAAAAGGTAAACCAAAATAAAAATGATCTTTAAAAATAATCTCTCTAATGTGGCCTTGTGTGGTCTGGTCCTTCATGGGTATGGTCCGTCAGTATCTAGGAGAGAAGGGAGGGGACGGTGAGGCCGCGGGTGCTGGGGGACTCAGCTCCCGGGAGCTGATGCTGCCCCACTACAAGGAGATGCCCCCGCTGGGTGGGGAGACGGCAGCTCCCTGCCCCGGCCGGCACTGACCTGTAGTAATTGGGTTTAAAAGGCCCGTTTTTGTTGAGTCCCAGGTATTTCGCCTGATCGTCCGTCAGTTCTGTCAGGTGGGCGTCAAAGGAAGGCAGGTGCAAGCTGGCGACGTACTCGTCTGGGCAGGGGGAGAGGAAAGAGGGGATCGGGGGGTGCACGTCGTTCCCCCCCCGCTACGCTGCCGGGGAGATGACGTATGGGCTCATCACGTGGCACAGAAAGGGCCAGGGTGTTATAATCAAGTTTGGATTTTGACTAGATAATTACTTTTCATTGATAACTAATCGCTTTTAATGAACGACTTAATTGCTCTAAGGAATAACTAACGCTATGTATTAATGACACGAGTTTACACCCTAGTAAGAAACACCCAAAACCTCACTGCTGCTCAGAAACGACAGCTGCAGGCCTTGCAAAGAAGGTCAAAGCTAAAGCTGCAGCTAATCGTGAAATTGTCCAGAACAGAACAAGGAGGCAGGGAGACAGGTACAGGGGGTGAAAGTGCGCGTTCTTGGCGTGTTATCTTATGGGATGAAACCAGAGAAACTAAGGAATGTTAAGGTGAAGACCCTCACCTCCTCCCCATCCTAATTTGAATAGCAGAGATCTTGATCAGTAAGATAACCAATGATTATATTAATATAGGAATATCAATGAAGTTAGTTACTAAGGTGGAGCAATCATTGTAAATGTCAAAATTAATAGCGGGCATAACATGCACGCTGATCTTAAAATATGACTTTGCAGAAAAAGGATATAAAATGCTGAATTTTTTTATGTAACTTTGAAGCCCGTCAGGCGGAGCCATCCCCCGTGCCCCCCAGAGCTGCCATAAAGAAGTGCCGGCTTCTCTGCAACGGTGTGGAGAAGTTTGTCCTGATGGCGACCTTTCCTCAACAAGGGCACCACGCTGGGTCTGGCCACGCATCCCGGGTGCGCCGCCACACACGCCGACGGCAGAGCTGAGCCCAAGCCCTGGTGCTGAGCAGGGCTGGATGTGCACCCAGAGGCCCAAGAGCTGCAGGAAGGCTGCAGCCTCAGGGATGCCTGCCACGCTGCAGGACATGAAGGGAAACAAATGGAACAACCCGCACGTATTTTAAGGTTGCTGCCTCTGATGGCTTCCCTGAACTCAAGTCTCTCTCTGGAAGCTTTCTTCCAGCCCAGGTTTGAGTTTCTCCTTACATCCAAAACCACCGGCCCACAGCCTCCCGGGGGGACAAGTCAGCCTGGGTTCCCTTCACTCACCCATCTTCTTCGGCAGCAGGTACACGTCCTGTTTGTAACGGCCCTCGGGAGCGTTGTAAAGCTCAATCAGAGCCAGAGCCTGCAGAGATCACAGAGGACAGCCCGGGGACAGTCAGGGACGGCCACCAAGCTGGGCAGCGCTGAGCACCCACCACGGCACAAAGCTCTCGGCCACAGAGATAAGGGGTTGGGAGCCTGAGAGAGGGGGCAACCATTTCCAAAAACGCCTCGAAGGAAAGGCTTCCACCTGAAGGTACATCCCTCTCTGGCTCTCCATAATCCCACCGCCACCGGGGGGGGAGGACGAGAGAGGTCAGGGATGAAATGCCACCCAGCTCGTTTACAGCATCTGGGCTTAACACCCTGGGGAAAACCAGAACACACGGATGGAGGAGAGGGGAGGGGAGCAGCTCTAATTCTCTTAAACCGTACGGCTGCTGCGTCATGTGGCAGCGAAGGGATTGCTCGATTTAAGCTGGCAGCATCACTCCAAAACCCACGGCCCCTCCTCCAGCAGAAACAAAAACTGCGTCTTCCCCCCCCCAGTGCCAGTTCACGCAGGCGAGAGCCAGGTCCAAAACACAGCCCTGGTCTCCGTCGGGTTGGACCGAGGAGCGTGAGGATAAGGAAACTCCCCGCTGTTAGCGTGGCTGTCCTCCCCCACCGTCCCAGTCCCCAGCCACCAGTCCCCAGCCACCAGTCCCCAAGCACCAGTCCC